CAACCTAAAAGGGAGGCTACCCTAAACATGAGAGGAGGGGAATAGGTGAGGGCAGAACACTGACCTCAGTAGTGGCTGACAAATAGGGAACAATACACAAGAAGCTTATGGCAATTCAAGTTCCATTCCAGGAAGACAGAAAAATCAAATGAATCAGTCCAAAATGGGAGGACTGAGTCATGGAGCCTTCTTTGGCAATGATAACAACAGAAGCATCATTCAAAGGTCAGAGTATCCAAGGAAATGTGAAAAGAAGAACAGAAAGTGGCCCAAGCCCTTAGTCTTAGATCCAAGTCTAAAAGTAATAAAAACTAGCAAATAGGTCTCAACCTGCTGGTGAGAAAGTACAGTGATGAGTCAAAAACTCAGAGCCAGCCATGAGACATGCTTCTAGATACCAGCATTATTCAAGGACACATGGGAGTGTTGCCCAGAGAGTTGTAAAAGAATAGAGACTTGAAGTCTCAGTTTGGGAGCAAAATAAATGCTATACACAAAAGTGCCCTGTCCCTGGATCCAAAAAAGTAGATATTGTAATTCACAGCTAGCTCTGTGCTCATCACCGACAGCTGAGATTGGTCTAGGCCATGGCAGAGTCTCACATTAAGCTAAACATGACTCATTTGTGCATTCAGGTGCATCTTACGCATTCTCATTTTGGTCGTTCTACAATGAGAAGGTAACATTTTACTCTATAATCATATTCTAGAATCTAAAACATTAGGCTTCATAGTTTATGTTGACTTAAAGAGTCTCTTTGGATGGTATTTGGCTATTTCTGATGAAAAACAACATTTCAAGCCTTCAACGTATAATGGGGCACAACATATTGTCTTCAAAATATTCTAAAAAAAATCATCATAGCATAACTGAGCTAATGAAAGGTTATTTGAGGATTCAAACTAGAAAGGATGCTTTCATAAAAAGGTATCATTCTGACTCTACTGTTACTCCAGACATATAGAAACAAATGTAATTTATAAGAATGAATTTTAATAAGCACATTAGAATTTTTATATCAAAATGGATTATTTCTTCTCTAAGAAAGTTACTTTTGAAAGTTACTAGCTCTATGCTAGTTTCACAAGACGATCTACACTGAAGGTAGCACTTGTCTCCTTCCCATTCATAGCCCTTCCTTGACAACCTGTGTCATCTACAGCCTGAGGAGGTGCAGCCTTATTTGCTCTGTGCTTTCACACAGTTCACAGACTCTAGGCACTTCTAATGCAAAAATCTGGCTGGAGTTTATCTCAGCATCTGCTTGCTGGGGAACCCGAGCTATGACATGGTAAGTTAAAAGAAGCCTTATTAGATGTAAATAAAATTAGTCAAATTAACAAGTAAACATCCCTAGTGATTTAGAAGTTTTTAATACCTAGACTTAGACATGAAGCTCTTATGACTCTTACAATTTTCGCTACTACAAAACCTCTAATAGCAAAGAATAATTCTATCAGAAGCCAAAAAAGAGCCATATTCTTCTCTTTAAAAATTACGTAAATTTTAGATTATATTAACATGTATTTGTCTGTTGTAATATGTAACATGTCATAATACTTTAAATAACATTACTAATTTAACTTTAACTTTTCTCAAAAATCTTCAAGTGAAAACAATAGCATCCTCACTCCCAAGGAAACTTGTCCTGTTGTTTTAGCCTATCTTCTCACCATTTGGCTGCCCAGAAAACTTATTTGAAATTTCTTGCTAATACTAGAAGGAGAGGACAGAGAGAATACAGAAAATGAGAGGAAGATAATGAACAATAATCACATAAAGAAATCACAATTTCACCTTGTGAGACTGGGCCACATTATCATCATTTTCTGATATGTTCTAGAGTTAACTAAAACTACCTGAACCTGAAGCACAAAGGTGACAGACGGTCATTGTCCTTTTCTTCCTTCATATAATTTGACTACTCTACATGGAAAGGAAGTGAATAAAGTCAGTACTGTCAATTTCAGACAGATCCTATTCCAATAATCAAAAAACTCAAAGCTCAGGACCAGCAGATGGCATAATGGTTACATCATTGGATTCCCACATGCTTGACCGCGATTCAAGTCCCAAACCTGACAACTTGAAACTCATGCTGGGCTCGTGTGCATGAATGCCCAAAATCCTGAGAAGAGAATGGAGGAGAAGAGATGGTGGTGTGGCCATCTCCCCTGGGGGGTAATTTTTTGCTTTCTGCTCTCTGTATCTCTGGCAAACTCACATGCACTATAGAAAAAAAAAAAAACCTTGCTCTAAACAAATAAACAAACAAAAAACCCTCAAAGCTCACTGTCAGTACCAAGCCAAATCAATCATTGCCTTATTTTTCTATTCATTCTGGGAAGGCTACCCTGGGAGTAAAAGCAACTGAGATAAAAGCTATAATGCAAAAAGAAAATTAAAAAAATCATCATAGAGGGAAGAGTATGTCAAGATTAAAAAGTAAAAAGTATTAACTCTTCTGCTTTCTACATTTTATCAGAGGATGCTACCGATGGCTCCTGCAGCTGTTCTTAAAAGTGAATCACTTTAGAAACAATTTGTCAATCAAGTAATTCTTAACTGGTGGAATAGCTAAATAATAGCTTTATGTAACACTTCACTGTCCAGTGTTGATCTCATTTGCAATGTTTCTGAATACTTATTAAATCTTTTAAAATATTGGGTTTTCCATAGTTCTTTCATATTCCTTAAATTGAGCAGGAAGAAAAAGAATCCAAACCCCAGTCTGATGGATAAGCTGTTACCCACTAAACTCACTGCCTTCTTTCTGAAGGACCACTTATACTCCCATATGTCCCTGCCTTTCCGGATAGCCTGGCTTTCAGGTAAGAGACGCCAATATTTCTTGGCACTTGTCCTACGCTGTGGCTGTCCATGATCTGTCACCAACAGCACCTAGAGAAGCTCCAAGCTTCTCAGATGAAAAATGAGAGACTCACTTCCTCTGATATAGTTAAGATCCTGTCCTTGGAGGATACAGGCAGTTGGGAGAACCAATGTCTACGCACAGGCTGCCCTTTTCCAGATCTGCTTGCCACATCTGGTGCTATTAATCTTCTCCACATAATCATATCCAACATACTTTTCTAATCTTTCAATAAAGGAGACTTTTCTGCTCTTTTACTAAAGGAGACTTAATCAATGATCATTATAATTCTCTAATTAGTTTCTTAATGACATTTTCAGAGAACAGTGTAAAACTCTAGGCATACTTTTCAATAGTTAGAAATATATTTCCAAATAAACTCAAGATGTCTTACATGCCCTCACACATTTCTGTAGGATATTATTAGCATTAATTCAGTCACCAAATCAAGTTTATTCACATTTTCCATTCTCTTCACATTTAATTAAAGTTTTATCTCCTTTCAGTGCATATTTCTTTGCCAACCTCTCACATCTGATTAGGTTCAGTCACTTGTTTCTGAATATTTAGCACCACTTCGGTAACTTTGTAGTACCTAGTTTGTTTTTGAAAATATTGGGTCATCAGAAAAGTCACAAGTATTTTTCTATGAAAAAAATGTGTCATGACTTTTTTGACAACCCAATATTACTGACTTACCAATGCATGGCTATGGAATTGGCCAATTTTAGGTCAAATTTTTAGAGTTAATTGTATTAGACACACTTGAGGAATATATTCAATGTCTGCCTTGTTCTTTGGAAGTCACCTTCACTCATGGCTTTTTTTTTAAGAATTATTTTATTTAACTTTATTTATTATTATTTTCCAGTTTGATCAGAGAGAGACAGAGAGAGAGAGAGGAAGTGAGAAAGCAAGCCACCAGGTCCGAGACTTGAACCGTGGTTGGCCATGTGGGAGTCCAGCGCCTTTAACCACCATGCCACTTGCCGGTCCCACTCATGGCTTCTGTTAAATGGAGGTCTTGGGTGGCTATGTTTTGCCACAAAAGCCTCTCTTTGACTATCTCTTGTTGGTTCAGAAATAGATACTGCATCCAGTGGTAACCAACGCATAGGCCAATCTACAGCAGAGCAAAGTTATGTCAACCTGAGCAAAGAAGGCTGAGGTAAAGTGAAATAAGCAAAGATGAATTTATTTGGATCAAAATGAGGATAATCATCTAGACACACAGCATCCAAGCTACCCTGGATGATGTATGCTGGGGTCTTACAGAATCTTGGGTAGTTTAAAAGTTAAAAAATCACAACAGGGGAAAGGGAATAACTTAAGTCTGACATTTGATAAAAAGTTATACCAAAAAGTCTTATTAAGAAGAAATTGGCTAAATCTATAAGGGGATCAGGATGATGTCATGGTCATTCTGGGGTTAGCATGGGAGCTAATATTGTAAAATGATTTTAAGGAAGAAACAATAAATTTAATTCTTAGATAATAGAGACTAAATTATTCTGTTTGGAGGCAGAATAGGCTTGGGAGACAAATAGTTTGTGATGAATTTTGTCCAGGTATACTGACATTTTTAATTAATTAATTAATTAATTTATTTATTTATTTATTTATTTTTGCCATTGAGTCTGTGTATTTGTCAGTTGTCTTTTAAGATTGAAGGTCTCTTACTGAGGAGAAAAGGGAAAGGAACCAGTCAGCTCAGGGAGGGATCATCTCCAATCTCCATAACATTCCATTACACACAGAACTAAACAGACAAGCACATAGTCACTACTGGAGTTAGAAGTTGGCAGCATGAGTGGGGGAGGACATATGGAGAGTAGGAGTGTTGTTAAAAAAAATACAGGCCTCCCCTGTCTGGGGGAACTTGGTCTGCTTCAACCCAAGAAGGAATTAGAAGATCAAAAGCAGTTTGGGAAAGCCAGAACTGTCATGGATGAAGGGAGGAGGAAGGGCCAGGGGAGGGGGGAGTGCTGTTTGGCAACTGGAGTGAAGAAATTGCCCTCCCCCTGCTGGGCCCCCCAGCACCTCCAGTCTGGCAGGAAGGCAGAAACCTGCAACCCCCAAGGGCAGGTATGTGGCTGCCAGATGCTCAGGGCAGGAAACTAGAGGGGGTTCACAAAGGTTTACCCTCCAGGGAGATGAAGGCACTGCCTCCCAGCTTCTCTGCCAGGGTGCAGTGATCCTTGAACTTCTCATAGCAGTTTGCTTGTAATTCATGCTTTATCCCTGTTAGTCGTAGCAGTTTGCTTGTAATTCACGCTTAATCCCCATCAGTTTCTTTTTAATGGCATCCTTGGAGCTGGCATAGATCATTTTGCTCTTATCAGGTGCACATTCAGGGGCCCAGAAGATGAATACCAGGTCTTCCTTCTTGCTCTCCTTGGACTCATAGGTCACATTATAGCGGGCATAGCGGCAGTCTTCATCTGGCAGCATCTTGACAAAGGTGGTGTAGGGGTTGTTGACAGTCTGGCCCACATTACCTACCAGGATCTCCTTGCGCTCCTCCAGGATGATGTTCTTGTCCTCACTCAGGCAGAAGAGTACCGCCTTCTTGCACCTCACCTCCTCTAGTGTTGATGACTTGCGCACCTTCACGTCATTGAACACGTTGATGATGCCGTCAGAGACAGCCACACAAGAAGCCATATCTCCGGAAGCGAAAGGAAGATGGCAAGGAGAGCCAGAGAAAACAAGAACCGCTGCAGCTGCTGCCAAGAGCCAATTCCTTACATTTTAAAATTTTAAATCTCAGGGAGGAGCTGAAGACAATTGTTCCCTTCCATGGCACTTCTGGTCTACAGAGTGATTAAGGAATATTGGAGCAATGTCCCTTCTTTTGTTTGGGGACATTAAAAGAACTCAAGGGCCAGTGTACATTCCAAAATCAGTCACCTTCTGTATGCCCAAAGTATGCCTAATCATTTAACCTATTTTGGAAGAAATAGACTCTTATCATCTTTATTTCAGAGTTATGAGGGATAAGACTAACAGATGTGTAAAGGAAGCTATTGTTAAAAGATCAAAAATGATACAGACATTCAGAGAGAAGAATTAGGAGACCATGTCAGAAAGATAAGCATGGTACCAATGTCAGCTCTGAGATCCATCTTCTCCTGACTTTTTCCCACTTCGTTCATATGGTTCATGTTTATAAAACTGGAAGAGCTGTCCCTTTCACATCAATTCCGGTAGACTGTCCTGTTTCTAATTCCTAGTATAGAGCTCCACTCTGTCCAGACATGTTTTCAGCAAACAGAAGGAGGAAATATGTCACGGGTAAGACATAACCTCCTTCTACCAGTTTTTACTCAATAACTAAGACTGTCATGATCCCGCAAGTTAGAGCCATCAGAGTTCAACTTCAAGGAGGTAGAGAAGTTAGAAACAGAAGAAGATGATAGCAAGTCACTAAGTAAATCCCCTCACATTACACATCAGATGAGAAGATTAAGGCTGAAGTCTGAATAGAAACAGTAGGCACTGGAGACTTCTCTAGTATATATTGTGGGCAATAAGCAGAAAGAACTTAAAGTTTACTGCACTATCTCTTTCTCTGAGGTAAATAGATCATTTTCTATAATGATCTTCATGCTTGAAGATATCTTTCTTTTCTTCATTTTTGAGAGGGTTTTGGCTTAGAATACATATGCTCATTGGAGAGAGAGGGAGATAGAAATAGTGTCAGGGAAAGTGAAAAAATCACACCCCAGGGGGCTGGACACACTGCAATTCCTTCTCCTCCATTCTCCTGCCAGGATCCTGGGCACACATGCATATGCATGCAACGTGAGTTTCAAGCCACAGGGTCCAGGACTCAAACCATGGTCAGGCATGTGGGAGTCTAAGCGACATAACCTCTGTGCCATCTGCTGGCCTCTGCTTTCCTTCCTTCCTTTTATTTTTTTTTTTTTGGGGGGGGGTTGTTTTGCTATATGGCACATCCACTCACCAGATAAACAGAGACAGAAAGCAAGAAATCGCCCTCCCAGGGGGAGATGGCCACACCACAATCCTTTCTCCTCCATTTTCCTCTCAGGATTTTGGGCACACACACATATGCATCCAGGGTGAATTTTAATATGCCAGGTTGAGGACTTGAACTGCAGTCAAATACATGGGAGTACAATGATGTAACCATCTGTTGGTCCAAGTTATCCTACTTTCTAAAGTAGAGGGCACATTACAAATGTCAATACTGACATCCAGTTTTCCCAGAGGCAGTTTTGACCACCTCTTAGATATTAAATTGAAAATTAATTCACCAGAATTGTAGATATGCAAATATTTATGGTGCATTACACCTATGTAAATTGCCTTACTCTCCTAGCTCTTAAAGGAAATTGTTCCCTTCAGCTTTTTGTATTTTATCATTTTCAATTAACATCAAGAATCCTCCATGAAATGAAGTCTGCAGTATCTGGCTCAAACACCTCACCAAATGTCTCAGACTACACAGTATTTAGTCTTGTAGACTACGGTTGTATACACCCACAAAGGGAAGGATTTTGCCTCCTGGATTTTGGCAATAAGTGAGAATGTATTTTCCCTGACTATTTTCTCTCTCCTGGTTCCCAGTAACACACACACACTTACAATTTAAAACAACACCACTTTAGAAACATCTTTCTTCACTGTACTTTGATATTCTTTATACTGTTGAACAGGGACTAATCCTAAAGAGGGTATTTCTGAATACTGACTGAATAGAGAGAATGCTGTCTACTGCCTTACAGAAATGTAGCATCTTCATATGTCCATAATGAAATTCACTACTGGTAAAAATTGACAATTGTTTGCATCTACAGTTTCTAAACTATCTGCTATGAATAACTCTTCCCTCAACCTCTGATTCTAGTATCATCTGGTCTATTCTGCAGCCACCAAGGAAGTTAGGACAAGTGACCAGTCCCCTCTCAGCCCAGGTTTTTAAATATATATACCATACATTTGGTAGCCCTGGCTCCAGCCAAAGAAATGTGTTGAATGAGTAGGGAAAATAACCAACAATAAAAAAAATAAATAAATAACGATGACTAGAGACCAAGAGGATTATCTGATATTCATGTCATAAGTGGTCAGAAAATATATATACCATACATTTGGTAGCCCTGGCTCCAGCCAAAGAAATGTGTTGAATGAGTAGGGAAAATAACCAACAATAAAAAAAAATAAAAAAAACAAAAAAAAGGTGACTAGAGACCAAGAGGATTATCTGATATTCATGTCATAAGTGGTCAGAAGAGATAAAATCAGGGGTTCTGAATGTCATCCTTATTCCTGCCAACTTCCAAACTACTTCCCAGATCATTCCTCAAGATGGCTTTGGTCTACTATGAATTACTCTGTCTCCAAATATTATTAATTTCATTTGCATGTGATTTTGCTTATTCTAAATTCTTCATATAATATCTGGACTCATAGCCAAAGCCACTAGAAGTGTACAAGTGCTGTTGATGGAGGCTCAGTCTTCCAGAGCCCTTTGTTACTGAGGTCCCACAAACTTAACAAGGGCTCTCACTGCAGCCCTGTTCTGGTCATGTTCTTCCCCAACGGTATGGAGTCTATAGAGCAAAGGGAATGAGTCCTTTATTCACTCTCTCCAGATACCAAACACCAACATTCATGGTCAAAATGCTCCAATATTATCACTTTTTAGTTTATTTCCAAAGATGAGATATTTAACCATTTGGTATCATGGAGTCAACTTATACAAAACCAAGACCAAGTGTCATGGCACAAGCTTTATTCAATGGTAAAGGAACAGAGAAGAAGAAGACGATCTCACAAATCAACTTTTCACTCATCTGAGCTGAAGAATTTAAGATATAGCAAATGGGGTAATGAGAGGACAGTACGGGGTAATAGAGAGGAGGACCATTTAAATCTTCCCCTAGAAAATGGTAGACTTCTCCGAATTCTAAAGCCTGTCTACTTTTTCTCCTTGTAAGGATTCTTCCAGTAGTTTCACTGGTGATTGTGAACTGTCATGGTGATTGTAGGCATGTCATTTAGCATGTAAATGAAATTATGATAGGTTTGGGGTCTTACAGAAGTCACTATAGTAGCTATCTTTTTTTTTTTTTTTGGGGAGGTTTTTTGCCCTATGTGCTTGCCAGACATACAGAGAGAGACAGAGAGACAGAAAGTAAGAAATCATACCCCAGGGGGGATGGCCGTGCCACAATCTCTTCTCCTCCATTCTCCTCTCGGGATCTTGAGCACGCACACACACGCACCCGCGTGAGTTTTAAGCCACCAGGTCTGTGACTTGAACCATTGTCGACTACATGGGAGTCCAGTGACATAGCCATTGCGCTAACTGCTGGTCTCTATAGTAGCTATCTTATATCCCAACAGCCTAATCTAGTTCTTACAGGAAGAGCATTATCTTATCCATAGGCATATATCCTGTTACTTAAAGAAAAACACTGCTTAAGGAGGAGCGGGGGTATGGTATGAGCATGGGCTACAAGGTGGGTAACACCAGGACCCACAATAGGTCATTTCCAGGACCAACAGACTGATCATGCTACTGATATTTATATCCCTCTTGCTTTCTGTCTCTGGCAACACGCCCTATAGTAAAAAAAAATCTCTCTAAAAAAAAACAAAAACAACCGTTCTATCATGCTCAATGGAACACTCACTGCATTTTATCAAATGAGATGTTGCCTGATTCTAGAACCACAAATAAAAACCAATTAGATATTCAAAGTAAATTTGTTGTAATTTTATTTTTTGACATATCTATTTGAAACTCTTGCCATTAGCCGCTTAATAATAGAATCTCCTCCTTATTGTATTGGCTTTCGCAGTGTTTTACCAACATGTACATTTTCCCCTGAATTCACTTACATTGTATTTTCATTGACTAAATCTTATAATTTTCCCTTCTCCAAAAAACGATTTCTCTCTTCTGATTAATACCACTCCAAGATCTAGGGAGAAAATAAAGAAAGCATAAAGCTATTTGATCTAGAACCACACAGTTCTTAAGAACTGCATGCCCTTGGAACTGCTATATTTATAATCAGATATTTTTAAGGAGAGAATTAACTTAAACTTGAGCTATTTTCTTTTCCTCTTATTACTCATTTACGTATGGGGAGCTATCTTATGTTTAAGTAATTGGGATTTGTTTTGTGCCTTCTTCTGCCCCTTACTTCAACCCACAAAAGTGAGCTCACCATTGTGCCTGATTGAGGGGCTTAGAGGAGCTGGAAAAGCAATGGGTAAGGTCTCCTTTATCTAAATTGGTCCGTGTTTTCTACATTCTAGCTCTTTTCCACAGACAGCTCCAGTGAATTATCATTGTGCATGCCATCAAAATTTCCATAGTTGAAGGTGTCACACACACAGTGAAGAAGTAGAAAGCTCAAATGTGTAGGTTGTGGGAACCTGTGCACATTGTCCATGAGTAGGAAGCCAAAAGAATGATTGTGCCAGTCTGATTCTTTCAGGTTGTAAGGAAAACAATGGCATTAAAATATTAGCAGTCAATCTTTATTGGTCAACAAGAAAGAAGTCAAGAAAAAGACCCCAGATGACGGCTCAATGGCAAAATGTGATACCCTGTGAAGAAATCCCACATAGGAAGCATCCTGGTTCAAGTTTGAAGACCTCCCTAAGTATGCTGGGTACATACT